CTGGAGGACGGGTAAGCCCGCGGCCCCGACTGGATGAGTCGCGAAGCTGCACGCAGCCAGCTGTTTGCAGAGAATCCTTGACAAATGTTCCAACCGAATGAACGCTGTAGGCTACAAAAATGCAGCCACGGTACTCTCGCGCAGCGAGAAGATGAAAGGGAACAGATCCTCTGACGACACCGGCTGATATAGCCGGTGTTACGTGGGTCACAGGTGACTTTGTTGTTATTGGTACTCGAGCTGCGCATGCGCGTGATGGACATATCCAGTGCTAAAGCACCGCCTCTGGCGATCAGTAGGGACGAAATAGAACAGATGCTCTCCTGCTTGCTTCACTGATGAGTTATAATAATTAAAGACAGTTGATATTTAATAAAAATGTCCTTAAATCCAATAAATCCCTTTTGATCCAGTCAGCTAGTCACTACCTCTGTCTGTTACCCATTATGCTAAGCAGTCTGTCTTCAACTCCTCCTGATGTTTTTTCAACCCCCCAGAAAATGAAAACACACATCACTAAGGACCAGACGTAGGTAATATATTTTTGAAATCCCTCTTACTTGAAGATGTTTAAGCATTAGCTGTACGAGGGGCCAAAACTGTAATAATAGCTGCAATAAGGGAGAGCACACAGCTGACAATTAGACTAGTATATTTCTATAAAACAAAAAACAAATCTACATTTATTTTTATAACATAGCATTAGGAGCCATGAAAGTCAGAAAGTGGTGATTTTTGTTGTACATTTAATAGGTTTTAGATTGTTTATATTTTGTCATTGGTCTTTCTTAATAATATTGTTCCTTATTATTTTGTGATCAATGATGGGATGGGTCACATGGTTATGGGCAGCACTCAGAGTGAATATAATCAGCTGTGTGAGGTGTGTGTGGAGGAGAGGGTGAGAGGGTCGCTGTATTTATTGTTGACCACTATCTTTACACAGCTGGATTATTCAGAAAATATATATTGTGCACGTTACAATAAGTTGATGATTTTCATTACATTAAGATTTTGTATTTTATTTATGACAAACCAGGCCCTACCTCAGCCTCTCAGACACTTGTCTTTGTTCCTGAAGTTGCTATAATTACTTAGACACAGAAAAAGAAAAAAAGCGGTAGCATTTTTTACATTCAACTCATCCTTTTTTTACTCTTTATAAACTAATTATATCATTGGCTATTGCCCGTCTGTGTTCATGTCTGATCAGTTTGAAGGTATTTGCAAGTCTTTTCTCAACCCTGTGTCCGTGCTAGTATTGTTGTCTGTGCGTGCATGTGTGTGTGTGTACTGTACCTCCGTCATTCCCCTCAACAACCAGCTGTGTGAACTCCTGCAGCTGAACCTTCAGCACCTGCAGAGGATCATCATTAGTGTCCACACACACCGCACTTCCTGAAAACACAGCAGAGGGGAAATGCAGCGATGTGACAGGTTTGTTTACATTGACACATCTCTGTTGTGATAAGGAAAGAGACACCATGAGACAGCGTGAGGAGATTTATACTCTATCGTCCACCTTCTAAACTACTATGAGAAAAAAAGAAAGAACATAGAAAATAAACAAATGATGGTTATCGTAATCTTAGTAAATGCTGAATGACCCACCCTCCTGCTGCCTGTGTCTCTGGCAGGACTCCACATAGTAGGAGTACTGAGCAGCAGGGATCTTATCTGCCCTGAATACACACAGGCAAGAAAACACACTTATATGATAAAAAGTTATAATTAAATCAAACATTTCCTTGCATTGAATTTGTTAAAATAATACATTTTGGTGGCAATACATAAATATTAGACATGTATATTATCATTATATAGTATATTAAATCTAAGAACATAGTGTAGAGAAAAAATAAATTGTACATTATTTATGAGCTTATGATAATGACTCACTTTTTCAGAGCCCCTATGAAACTCATGCGAGCATCGGCATTGACAGGAAGCTGGAAATGAAAGACAGGTAAACAGGAAGTGATGCATGTGATGTGAAAAATTGTGACAAAATGACAAAAGAACTTCACACCTGAGCATTTAAAGATAAGACTGAGAATGATAGATGCTCACCGTCCTCTGTGTCAGCAGGGCAGGGAGGAATCGCGTCAGGAAGTATGGCCTCCGGAAAATACTGAGTGGAGACAGAGGGGACAACATGAAACCTTCACACCCTCCTCTGTGCGTCCTGAATGTGCTGCAGGTGTCATGTGTTGTAGATACCTGGCCTCCATGACTGTAGCAGAGATTCTTCCTGTGCTGTCAAACAGAGACAGCGCCTTCACCACATCCTGCACAGCCTGGCACTGCGGCCACACACACACACACACACACACACACACACACACACACACACACACACACACACACACACACACACACACACACACACACACACACACACACACACACACACGTTTAAAGGTGGCAGAATTGTACAGTAAGCTCTCGGAGGCTAAAGATAGTTGTGCTGAAT